CACTTCTAACCATTTTAATGGTTTTACCAAGTTGATTTTCAATTTTAGTTTTGTAGAGTTTAAGGCCTTGTTTGGTTTGTGTTTCTTAAAAAAATTTGAAAAAAATTCTCTACAAATAAGTTTTCAAAAGTAATCAAATCAAACAAATTTTCTTAAATTTTTTTCCAAAACTTGTTTGGTTTATAAGTTTTCCAAACAAATCTCTCTCTCAAACACATCAAATCAATCACTTTTTGAAAAACTCTCTCTCAAAATAATTTTTCAAAACATCTTTTGAAAAAAAAATTCGTACTTTTTATCTCAAAACATGTTTCTCAAATACAAACCAAACAAGCCCTAAACATTTCTAAGGCTTCATCTTTACTTCTAAGTAAATATATATAACAATATCTTATACAATCATCGATAAATGTTATGAAATACTTCTTGTCTCCTCTAATTTGAACAAATTTAAGATCACACACATCAGTATAAATTAATTCTAGAGGTTCGGTTTTTCTTTCAATCGATTTAAATTGAGCCTTAGTTAGTTTTGCTTCTACACAAATCTCACATTTATGATTAGGTTTAATTTCAAACTTTGGTATATAATCCAAACCAATTAATCTACGTAAAGCATCAAAATTTACATGTCCTAACCTACCATGCCATAAATTCGACTCAAGAATATAAACAAAAGATGTGTTATTCTTATTAATAGCAAGTTTTGGTAAAACTGTCGTTACATTTGTCGTTACATTCAACTTGAAGAGACCATCACTCATGTATCCCTTACTAACATACATACCACTCTTTGTTAATACAAATTTATCAGACTCAAATACAAGCATAAAACCATTTTTACTTAACAAAGAACCAGAAACTAAATTCTTCCGGATGTCTAGTACATGTAGTACGTTGTTGAGGGTAAGTTCCTTCCCTAATGTCATCTTCAAGATCACCTTTCCTTCTCCAACCACAGTAGAAGTAGAAGAATTTCCCATGAAAAGTTGTTCACCATTTGCAGCCTCATTGTAAGTAGTGAACATCTTTTTGTCCGCACAAATGTGACGAATTGCCCCAGTGTCAACCCACCATTCTTTAGGATTTCTAACCAAATTAGCCTCAGACACCACAGTAAAGAGATTGATATCATTTACCCCATCAGAGATGTAATCTAATTCTGTCACATTGGCTTGATTAGTGGTCTTCTTGCTTGTACTTCTGCAATCCTCCTTAGGGCGGCGACAATCAAAGGTTTGATGTTCGGTCTTGCCACAGTTGTAGCATTTACCGTTGAACTTCTTATTGCCATTGTTGTCGCCTTATTTAGGATCATCTCCAGCAAACTTCATCTTTTTGTTATGTGGTTTGTGCACTTGTTCAACCACATTAGCCTTGGACTCAATGGAAATTTCACCATTTCTCTTTTCAGCCTTTCGGTTATCTTCTCCCAGTCTTACAATAAATTCATCCATGGTCATCTCTTTGCGTTTATGTTTTAAATAATTTTTGAAATCTTTCCAAGCCGGTGGTAACTTTTCCACTAAAGCAGCGACTTGGAAAGACTCGCTAAGAGACATACCTTCAGAATGAATATCATGCAAAATTAATTAAAAATTTTGAACTTGAGAAATTACTGTTTGGGAGTCTACCATAACGAAATCCAAAAATTTACCGACAACAAATTTCTTTGTGCCAGCATCCTCTGTCTTGTATTTTTTCTCCAAAGAATCCCACAATTCTTTTGTTGTTTTCAGAGGGCTGTAAATATTATACAACATGTTGTCAAAGCCATAGAGGATGTAGTTTCTGCACAGAAAATCAGAATATTTCCAAGCGTCTACAGCGGCAACAACTTGCCAATCACTTTCATCATCTTTAAGTGCTGGAGCCTCTTTACGGAGAAATTGGACCAAATTTAGAGTTATAAAATAGAACAATATTTTCTGCTGTCATCTCTTAAACTCAGTGCCATTAAATTTTTTCGATTTTTCTCCATGATTTATTGGAACTTAAACATGGTTCTGGATAGGGACTAAAGTTGTTGTAACGATCGGATTTTGAGTACTACTTTCAATAGCCATAATATTTGATTACAAAAAAATTAGAAAAAACCAAAACCAAATTAATTTCCTAGTTACTAAAACCAGAAAATAAATTATAATACAAAATAATTTTCTTTTCTTGTTACTAAAACTAGAAAAATAAAATACCACAATAATTTTTTGTAACACAAATTAATATTCTGTAATTATTAATGATACCGGTATATTACTACTAGTTGTCAAAGAAAATAAACAGTATATTACTACTATTTGTCAAACAGTATATTACTGTTATTTGTATTTTTCAACCAGAATATCACTTTGTGAAAGCATAGAAAAATGAATACAATGAAGGCGTCAAAAAAGAATCTATCTTAAGATTGTTGGACAATCTTCACTATTTAAAAAATAAACTTTGTTTATGTACTTAACAACAAACGGAATACAGAAGAAATAAAGGAAACGAGAGAGGTTGTTTGATTATAAAAATCAAACTAGTAAATAAAAATAAATAAATTAAAAAATAGATTTTTATTTTGTTATAAAAACAAAATCAAAATTTAATATAAATAAATAATAAAACAGAAAATAAATTAATAACTTACTTTATTAATTTCTCGAACAAAATTTTGATCAAGTTCAGTGTTTAACACTGTGTCCTTAAAATAGATTCGTCCTCTCCACGGTGCTTTCAGATTGTGGACGTCTATCTCTCAAGATAAAATGATTGACAGTAAATAGTAGTAACACTATACACTATTCACACAACGAACACACTAAGTGTTTACACTCTTTATTCTTATAAGGAAAATAATACAGCAAAATGCAGAGAGAGTAGGTAGAATTTGGGACGAAAATTGGAATGAAAAAACCAAGTGAGGGCCTGCCTATTTATAGATGCAGTGGTACTTTTTCAGTTTGAATTAAACAGGTAGCATACCTGTTTGACCACCTGTTCGGTTTGAATGAACAAATACAAATCTGTTGGGTTTAAATTTCGAACAGATAAAAACTGTATTGAACAGTTTTGAATCTGTACAGAAATTCGGAAAAAGTGAAAAACAAATTTGAATTTTTCCCATCAAAATTTGAATTTAAAACTTTGGACAAATTTTATTTTACCAAAAAAATAAAATAAAATTCAAATATTTTTTGCCCAAAAAGATAAGTATTGGGCCGGACATAGGGTTGCAAATGAACAGAACCGTTCGTGAATAGGCTCGAGCTCGAGTTGGTAAGAGCTCATTCGAACTCTGTTCGTTAATTTTTTTTTACGTTCGAGCTCGAGCTCGTTAAATTTTTAATAAGCAAACTTAAACATTCTAAAGCTCGGCTCGTTAGCTGGCTCGTTTAATATTTATTATTTATATATTAAATAATATAAAAATATGTATAAAAAATAAAATAGACATATTATTTATATATTTAAAAAATATAAATGTAAATAATAGTTAACTATAGATAGTATATTTATATAATACTGGTAGTAAATATTATTATTTTGGTAAAATATTAATTTTTTTGTTAGAATGTTTATATATGTTGTATATATAATTGTATAATTAAAATTTTAATTGTAATTTTAGTCTCATAAATGAGTTTATAAATTTTTTCTCGTTAAAACTCGTGAGCAGATTCAAACTTGAATCAAGCCTGAGTTAACTTAGCTCAAGCTCGATTTGTTAAATTTTATTGAGTTAAAATTTTAATAAATAAGTTTAAACATATTAAAATTCAGCTCCATTTAGCTTGTTTACCGTCCTACCTGCAAGACATGCCACAGTACTCAACCATCTCTCTCTCTCTCTCTCACACACAAGCCCAAACATACTAAAGCTCGGCTCGGCTCGTTTACAGCTCTAGCCAAACAAGCCCAACCCAACCTCACATCACGCATCCGCACCTAGGCCCAGCCCAGGCCGACCGGACGAACGGCGGCAGCGGCGCACGCTTGTGTGTTTATTTTTGAGTCTAATGGATCTAGCCCAATTTACCCAAGTTACAAACTAATGCCTTATAAACCCACATAAGTTTGCCCACCAAACCAATGTAGGACAGACTTTAAACCAAACCTTTAGGAAATTTCACAAAAACACTATTTCCATGGAACTCTTTTTGGCTTCAATTTTTCATTCACTCAATAATGGTTTTGAGCAACCAAATATACTACGTGAATCACAATGCAGCATAGAACGCGTTACCACTTAGACCCGTCAACTTTAACGCATGAGTCTCACCTAAAAAATAGACCAAAGTTGAGGAAAAAACTGTTTTTCCAAAACTTCCAAAACCCATTTCTAACATATAAAACTTAAAAACTATCTATGGAAGTATAAGAATTAGTTTAAATATGACGAATGCTAATTGAAGCAAGCTTTCCATGTAAACTTCCACATATATAAGCATTGAGTAGTAGATACAACCATTTCATAGATAATCTCCACTAATATAAGCATGAGTAAATTTTATTTTACCTTCACATCATCTAAAAAAATTAATTAGATTCTTATCTTTTTAATTATATCAATTTTCAATGTGACCCATGTCATCTATAATCAAACAACTTCATTTAATCCTCAAACCATCCCTCTATTTAGAGGTTTAATTGATTCTGAGAGATAATTTGGAACAAAAATGAAGGACTTGGAGGATAGATCAGCATAGTCCACCTCATTGTAGATGGCAAACGACGGCAGAGGTCACATTTGTCTGAATCAAAATAATTTGGGAGTAAAATGAAATTTACTCTATAAGCATTTGATATTGCAAGACTTTAATAGTTATAGAAGACAAAGGTGACTCCATTGCTATAACTTGATTCTCAACTCTCCCAATAACCACCACCTCTCTTATCCATATGAACAATCTTGATATAATTACAATATTCATCCATGGGTTGGATCTAAAAAAGAGAGTAGCTTTACAACTGAGGCATAATTTTCTAGCAAAAAAATTTAAAAAATATTCAAGAACTTCAAATGCAATACTGAATTACTCTATTATTCTCTTGAAAATATAATTCAACAGTACACAATAGTTGAAATGTTACATCTACAAAAGAAATTTTAAAATTCTATACCATGAGGCTGAAACTTTCAAATCCTATTCATCAAATTGGATTCCATATTGCCAACCCAATCTGCTAAGAAACAACCAGTTTAAAGTATACACATTCAACGTAACCAATGATGACGATGATGATACAAATCAAGGAATTGCTAGAGTTACAAACAATAGTAGATCTTGCCAATCCTCATCTTATCCTTCACTTCTTCAGTCCTCACATCTCAGAACGTCTAATGAGAGCCAAAAATCCAGTGCCCAGGCATGCTTCGCATTCAAAATGGAAAAAAAGCTCGCCAAAGCATATATCAATGAACATTAACAAAAAAACAGATGTTCAAAGCAGAGTCAGTGTTTGTCTACTCTGATCTCCGCCGATCTTTGTGATTGTTGTACAGAGGTAAAATCGAACGGGGGCCATGTTTCCTTCCATAACATCGCCAGTAAAGAACCAACATCGCGATGATAACACCAATGGGAATAGCCCACCTGTCTCAACATGGAAATTCAAAGGAAATGAGAAGAAGCAAAAATGCTCATCGGTATTAAATTCAATACGGCTACCACCTAAGAAACATGGACACCTCTACGTAGGAATCGTGTTGTGTTGGACACTGACACTGTGGACACTCTTAAAAACCTATCTGAATTAAAATTTTAAATTCATAATATCAGACACTTTGGCAACACTCTTGAACCCTCCGAATGTGCCTTATATGATGAATCTCTTCATAGTAACATTGTTCTGCATTATTTGAAATGTAACTTTGTGGACACCAAATAAGTTTTGCAACAATTATAAGATGAATACATCATGTCTATTCTAATGTTCTGCAATGGTTTTGCATTCTAAAGAATGCAATTGTTAGATGAATGATATATTGATATTTATGCCATGAAATTTTTTTAAAAAAATTTAATTAGTGTTATGTTGCTTTTTTTCATTACCTTTGAATAAACTATTCATATATTTGACACATAATAAGTTTATAAAATTATAAATTTCTAACGTGTCCCAAGCGAAATGTGTCTGGCCTTCTTTGAAAATTGCTGCCTCATCGTGTCGCATGTCTGTGCCTACTTAGGTTACCACAACTAACTCCAAGGATTTATGACATTTTTTTTTCCTATCATTTGCTTTTATTCCCTTCAAAATTCAGTGTAAGCAAATGAGTTATTGTCAAATCTTTTGAATTAGAAAGATCCTTTTGGTTAGAAGTTCAAAATAATTGATGCTAAGGATTGAAAATCAGCAGGGATTACAACTTGTGGTTAAAATAATTGAGATATTAACCATTGAAAATAAGCAGGGTTCACAACTCGTGGTTAAAATAATTGATGCTAAGGATTGAAAATAAGCAGAATTCACAACTTGTCAAGCACCACTCTCATGACAAAGGAACTCATACTTCTCACAACTGTTAAATTATTGGGAAAATGAAATATTTATTTCCTTGTAAATATGTTTTAATGCAGTTTTGGCAGAACCATAACCTAGAAAACCGCAACTCCAAGCACAAAACTCCATTCTATAGTTGATGCGTACAAACATGATAAAAAGCAGTTACACATCTTTCAAGTTGCTTTCAGGCAAAGATAATCTTAGAATCAAGCGAAGCAAATAATGAAGTTGTTACCTGTCCAAATCAAGGATAGGGCTGTAAACAAGGGCCTCCCAAGTTGCTACAATAAAATGCCAAACCGGATTGTAATAAAGAGATTCTGCTGACCAAAACATCCTCGTGTATGTCTCTAAGAAGATGAAGAGTATCCATGCCCCCATCTCAATCAAAATAAACTTTATCAGAAAACGACCCACCACTACCATGACAAGAGAGAAGGCTACCAACCAATTAAAGAGCCTGTGGTTGTATTCCTTAATAAATAGAGATTTTGACTTCCCCATCATCTGCAGATTTACATAGTATATACTAAGCACAGATCAAATGGAGACTAAAAAAACTAAACAAGAAAATAAGGACCATTTGGATACCAAATGAAGATGAACTATGTCAATATAATCTGCTTTTACAAAGATAATAAAGTAATTCTTCTGTTTTCTTACAATTTGAAACACGTTGGGCACTTACAGGATTGCTTTAAAATAAATTTAAATGAATAATGCCATTCTTTTGATTTCTATCATTTCATGTTTTGAGACACTTACATTTCATTGTGAGGTCCATCTTTGAATAAATCAATCTAAAAGGTTGAGGTTGTCATTCATGTGCTGATTAAAAATCATAAACTGGTTTCATACCCATGTGGGCTTCCAAAAATCCCTCACTCTGGTTTGGCTACAGCTTAATACGCTGCTTTTTAGCAAAATAGTCAAAATTAAAAAGTCTGTTTTACCTAAGAAAGCTAAAGAAGCCAACTTCCCACTAACAAATCAGCATTTTTAGATTCTAAATAAGCAAAAAAAAACAATTGAACGGAATCAAATTCAACTACCAACCACATGCACAATTGAAGAAAACTAAAAACAAAAAAAGAATGTGCAAAAATTGCCAACCTTCATCATCTTACGCTCATAACTGATTTTAGAAGGTCCAACACACTTCCTCTCAAAACTTTGGTTGCAATGGAGGAAACCTGCATTAAATTTTGCCATTGAAGGAAGTCTGAGCACTTGAAGTTGATCCATCTTGTCCTCACATTTGGTATACAATGTCTCACACAACTTTGAAGATTTATATTCATTTGCCAAAACAAAGTTCTTATACACCTGCAGAGAATTTCCAGTTAAAAAGAGTGAACATGAATCTACACTTCGGAAAACATTAAATCCCAAACAAGGAGGGATAGTGCCTACAGAAGAATATGACAGAGCAAGGACACATTGCTTAAGAACAAGGCAAAAGAAAAAGACCAACTATTCACACTACAAAGAAACTGACAAGCAGCTTTCCAGACTACCCTTCCCCTGTCCACCCAACTTCCAAAGCACCTTAGAGAGAGTTTATTAAATAGGGGGAAAAAAAAAAACCCATAATATTTAAAGATGAAATGACCATAAGATCGAACAACATTCACTACACTTTTCCAGGAAATATTCCACTTGTTCACTGCAACAGCATTTCAGATGGCCTAATGCTATTCAGCCATTCAAATTATTTAAACATATTGGTTTTTGAGAGTCGCATGCTCACTAGTTATACTATGAAAATGGTCAATTTACAGACATGTTCATTTAGTCGACCAACCAAATCATTGACTTTGCAAAGCCTATTTTAACAAATCTTAGTTCTAGGTTTTGAGTATAATTTGTACCTTATCAATTTCTTCATCCAGTTTTTCAACTGATTTCTTCGCATGGTGCCGTCCAAAATGTTGCTCATCAAAAACTTTCATTGTTTCTTCTCTAAAACCTTCATGAGATCTTTGTAGAGACTCCTCCGAGAGGGGTAAACTTAATTTAGCCATCCTATCACTGTATAGTTTCATACATCGCTCCAGAACACCCTTATTGAAAACTTCCACAAGAGAGCCCGTTGATGGAATCTCCCCTTTATTCAAGGCTTCAAGAATCTGAAATAAAACATGCTTCATTTAAGAGAGAGCGCAGAGGATCAAAATATTTCGCAACCTGTTTTACTTTCTGTTGGTCATTCCCTTCGTCACCAGGAAGGTTCTAAAATCAAGATAACAAGGACAATTTCATTAAATCTCAGGTATCATCATAGCCACTAAGGCATCTCATTCTTTTTTTTTTTTCTTCCCCTTATTACTATTTGTATAGTAGTTAAAAATGACAACCAATGGAAAATTTTAACACTGATAAGAATACACTGGCAACATTACAACAGCAATAATTATAAAAGAGATTGTTATCCTTTGCAATGCAATAATCTTGCTCAACAGCCACAATAATTTTATAATTCACTTGTTTTTCTTCTATTTTCTGTCTTCCTTGGAAAGGGAAATTGACACTATATCATGAGTTCCCAACCAGAGTGATTGCCAGTCGAGCTTCATGACACTTAAGATATGAGTAGAGCTCATGTGACCTGCCCAGAATTAGTGTCTTGGGTTGCCTTGAGGAGGATTTGGACATCATAAGGTACAAGTTTGGGCAAAGAATTATTGACCTGATCACTCAATGGTGAACTTGGGGTCTGAAATAAGTATGATCTCACCCAAAGACAGTTGTATTAATACATCATCATTATTATTTGGTTAAAAAAAATTACACATTTTTCAAGCATGAAGTATTTTTCTAGTGGTGACTAGTGAATATATAATTTTGTCTAGGATGATACCCTCAACAGAGTGGGGCTTAGGCTTGCTTATTTTCATTAAAGTTGGGATTAGGCTGGCTGTTTTAGGACCAAGGTTGAGCTGGACGAGGATTGGGCTAGCATAGTGTTAATGACTACATTGTTGGCCCAGCAGGGACCACGCCAGCTAGCCCAATGCTCAGCCCTAAGATCAAGCCTAACAAAGGTGAGATAACATAATGAACAGCCTCAGAAATTCATTGATTCTAAAAATAACTCAGATGGTCTAAAATCCAAAATCATAGAGGATTACAGAAAGTCACCTGTTCCAAAAAAGATACAAACTCCTTCCCATTTAAAGGTTTACCCTGCACAATCTTCGGACGGATAATAGAAGAAACAAGTCCTTTCAGCTGATCTCTTCTCTTAACGTAAGTTGGGTCAAGGTCACCATCTTTCATGTCGCAAAGTTTTGTCCGTTGGAGATGAGGCTGTTTGCAAGATCAAACTGATTCTCAAATGCAAAGTGATTAAGGGAATGCATTTGCAAATGAAAGAAAAAAAACTAGATTCTTAAGGCAATTTATCCAAAAAAGAGTTACACAATAAATTACATTACAACCCTTTACAATATTACTAATATCATTATTATTGTGCTGGTAAGATAGCCCAGCATCTATTCTGTCCACATCATTATACGGTTAATCTAGACGAAATATGGTGGGGGCCTATGAAAACAATGGATACAACTTACAAGTGATTATCACGTGATCAATTCACTGTTCTTCAAAGCTCTAGTAAAGAGCATTGAAAGGAACTCCATTTCTCATTTTTATAGATCTTGAATCTCAGCTAATACTTGTAAGACTTTTTTTTCCCGAGTTACGGCATTTTTTTAACATTCATCTAGCAAAACTGAAACTATATCTTCACTTCCAAAAATAAAAAGTGATAAATAAAATGTAGTAACAAATCAGAATTTTAAATATGGCATCCTACTTTAATTTTCCTATATTAAGGCATTTTTAGCATACATCATCTCAGCGCTTTTATAGTAATGAAATTATCTATTCAATAGGAAAAACAACTCACATTTGGATCCAAACAACACAAAGTCATTTCAAAACCAGGTCTCCAAGAAAGTCCACAAAAAAGTTGTAGTATTTTTCCTTGCATGTCATCTTCTTTAAATAAAGCTTTATTTTTTACTAAAACAGCCTCATGCATGAAGATCATGAGTAGAGCAGCTCAAAATCATTATTATGTACGATCATTCTACCTACAACTAGCAATGTGCCATAATATGTACGATCTTGGCACTAAAAGCATTTATAAATATCCATCTAACATAAGAACATGTTACGAAAACATCCTAGGAAACTTCTAATGATAAAAGGAATTAGAAGTTTCCTAGGATGTTTTCGTACTTTGTCAAACTTGTTTCATTGGCATCTTGTATAAAAGGCATTTTCAGCACATATCCCATACACATCACACAACATATTTGTTAAGAGTCCATATAAAATAGCTAGGCATTTGCTTCACTAGATTTCATTGCCTAGGAAGGCTATGAGAGACTCTCCATTATTCAGCCTTCAACTATTTCCTAGCTAACCACCATAGTTAACAATAAGAAAAGGGGAAGAATCATTAAGCAATGAGGCAAACCCATACTTGCGGTAAGCTAAAAGCTGTACTGTTATCACCCATGATAGCCAAAGAGTCCCTGATCTTGTTAACCTGGTAAGATTAAATTACCCAATGAAAAAAGAAGGTTAATTTTAATTTTATCATAAAGTTTCATTGATAAATAAAATTTGGAACAGAAAGATACCTGGTCAATATTTTTGTCCCCTGAGGTCACAATAAGCACACACAATTAACTTTTGCTTTATAATTTGTCATCATAAGTAGAACTCATTGTACATAGATATGGATAGATGAAAAACTAACCATCAAAATTAGGAACTTGTCGAAGAGCTTCATCCACCATTTCTTTCACAGATTTCCCTTCTGTAAAAATGACAAAACAGTGTTAATTCATCTGGATTGCAAGAGATTGGAAATGAGTGCACAAAAAGAGGTGTGCCTTGCCTGATGCGTCTTACACCTCAAAATAATTATGTAGTATTCTGTCCATAAGTTGAAAGAGGACAAATTGGACTGATAGGAATTGAATATTGCATATTTTAGCCATTTAACATACATTTGTTTAAGTATTAAGTCATTGTTACTTGGTTTATCAACTCCATCCATGTTTTTCCAGGTAGTTCAAGCTCTTCTGGTGGACTAACAATTCGAATGAAGTTTTCCAGAAGCTTGAAGAGCCTTGGACGGATGGAGTTTCAATAGGGTTACAAGATAGAAAAAAAAAATCAAATTGCAACATTTTTCTGCCCAGATAGATTTGGTGCTTGTTCAGCATGTGCTAAAATAGCACATGTTATTTTGGCACATTATCTTATTTGGGTCACATCACCTCTCTACCACATCACTTCAAATCCAACCCATATTTCACGTTTTTTCGTTAAAATTCGAAAAGTAAACTAATCTAGCACTTCTTAAACAACCCCTTGATTTCTGCCCAAGCAATTATAGCAAACACAAAAACAACTCACAACACTTTTCTACCCAGGCGAATCTGCGTGCCAGAAGCTGTGGAAGTCTAATTTTTAAAGGCTTTGTAGGCCATCCAATCCTTTTTCAACCCTAACTAGGGAAGGAAGGACAATAAAGGGCAACTTAGCTATGAAAAGAGGGTTTCACATACTTGAAAAACACAGCTCTAGAACGAAGAGAAGAGATTCCAAGAGCTTCAAACCTATTGCAATGGAGATTGTGGATTCTTCTTCTATCATGAACGGCTAGGCACTCCACTTGGGGTTTAGATGAAACCCTAGCCAAGTAACCCTGATTATTGTATTTAGTTCTGGGTTTGATGATTAATAATGCAAAGATTGTATTAATTTTGAGGCAATAATTTTATATTATGGTTGATGTATTTGAAACTTGTAGTTTTGAATGCATGATTATACAATGGTTTTGATGAATTAAGAGCCTATTCTTGGACAAGACGAGTCATGCTTAAATTTTGTTGAAGATGATTCATTCTCATCAAATATGGGTTATACCTAATTCCCAACTATGTGAATCCTCTTGACGACACCGCTAGGGCTTGTAACCACGATGGGTCATGATTGTGTTAATTAATCAAACCCCGAAATTACTGCAGTAGTCATAGTTACAAAGCTAAGGTGGATTCAACACCCTAAGTTCTTCCAATCATTGAATACAACTTCAATTTTATTTTGCTTTGCATAGTTTAATTTTATTTTAGTTTTAGCTCATTCAATCAAACTCATAATACTTCTTTTCTCTGAATTAAATTGCAGACCAACATCTATGATTAACACAACTTAGCCTTTTAGTCCCTAAGGTATGATACTCGTACATACATTACTATACTAATATTTTTATTATGGGTTATAGATTTTAAATGATCATAGACAAAAGAAAGCATATGAAGAAAACAGAGAAGGATTAACTTTTGGCACATAATATACTCTTGTTCCCATATATCTTGACAAATATATATTAGTTCAGAGAGATTGTCTTAAGCTACTGATACAAAAGAATATCCTAGGAAGTCATATCCAAACTTACGTAGAAAGTCACGCTGGATAAGCCACAACAGCTTAGCAGGTTCAAAGGCAATATCTTGCCCCTGCAAAACAATCCAGTCAGCCAAAACATAGCAAAATTAATAACAGTTTTTTCTTTCCTCTTTTTACATTAATTTTTATTTCTATGAAAACTATTACAAAAGAATATACATGAGAAAAAAATGCTGAAGTGGTATGAAAATTACCTTCACTCTGTTGCCCCATAATGATTGCAGACAAAACCATAAAATGAGTTAGTGTTTAGTGTAAAATGTGGGGTTAAAAAACAATGAATGAAAATGCCAATATACAAAACAACAAAAGTAAGGTGTTCGATTATCATGTCAGAATAACAGACCTTCCATAGAATTCTTCAGCGAGCTCAACAGCAAATGACAATCGAGATATATCAGCCTCACGGATCTAAACAACAAGACCAAGAAACAAATTACCTTTCATGATGTAAGTGGCAATTGTGTGCTTTAGTGACAGTTGACCAACATCCAAGCAGATAAACATAGTACCAGATCCCCTTTGTAACACAAATATGAATGTCCCATCCATGCTAAACCAAGGTGAGAAGTAACACAACATTGCCTAGAAACTGTTGCTATTCAATGATCATCCATTATGTTTTCATTTTAGATTTTATAAAACATTGCCAGAATTCTTATGAAAAATAAGTCTGAATTATCTCATTAAGAACCTTAACTGCAAGTATTTGATGTTAGGGAAGCTTCACTTTATGAGAATTTTGAAGGGAAATTTTAGGAACTAGCGAGCAAGTGACAAATGAATGAAGCCTACTCCATAAATCATTACAAACAAGTTAAGATAGTCTGGTTCATCACCTTTAATTCTCCAATACTGTCTCTATCTCTCCTTCAAAGACTACCTCACCTCTCACCCTGTCCAATTCCAATGGTTTCTCACCATCTCAGTGCCTACTGCCTACAATGCTTCCAGAGGGCTCCACACCTAGCCTACTCACCAGTCAATCCACCATTTACAACTTCAAACCAATTTTTTATGAATTGACTTCTTTGGCTTTGGCTGAGTGACTCAATGCTTTTACAAAGTATGCCGTTGTAACTTGTACTAATAGCTTCATGTCAAACCATGACTATTGTCCCTCAAAGTGATGAATGTTTTGGTCAGTTCTCTTGAACACTTTTTGAACACTTTATTTGAACACTTTTTTTGTACTCTTTTACAGCCTTCTACCTATTATGACATTCAAAACGTAATCAATGACCAACGCCAATCCCACATGTTGGATGCACCCCAAAAAATAGAAATCACATAATTCACTTCTATCTTAAGCCCTAAAGTTAATAAAAACAAAACTGTACTCACTTCCAGGGCCATAAAACTTTGAAGACTCCAATATTACATTTGCTTATTTAAATACATGTGCTTCCATACACAAAGCAGCTCCTATTCTAAGGTTTGCCCAAACCTACAGGTAAACACATAAACTTTCTAGTTTGTTTCTGTAGAACCAGAACTTTTTTAGTATGCTAAAATTCCAAGTTTTGGCTGTCCATGTCACGATGCTCAACAGAATAATAAGAAACACACACACACACAGAGGCGTGAAGTAACAAACCGTCTCAGGCAGGTTATAGATAAGCACCGAACTCAATACTGTTGCCAGAGCAAAAATCCTGCAAAACAAGAATCAGAAAGGAGGACCAACAATTACTTACAGCCATCAGAGGCAGATTAAAGACCAAATATTGACTTCAAGATTACCGGTCGTCATATACATTTGACTTCCCAATACTTTCAAATCCTTCAGTATCAAGGTAGAAGACAGAAGTCTTTACTCCATTAATTTCCATTTCTACCGGGGCTCCCCATACCCAAATCCCTGTAAGAAACAACATAAGATCTGTAAATCATATCTGTAAATAAGTGGTTTCTTAGATCCAGCACATCATAATCATATCTCGATCTACCTTTTGTCTTTGTGTCACGCATGTGCCCAACACCAAACCCTGCAAAGACATCAAGCATCAAAGCTTAGGAAACCATTGAAACAAACCAACTTATGATAAAGCATTAATGATTCTGACTTTTCAACCCAATCTAAACTAATGGCATCAGAGGCTGACCTTCATAACAAGAAAGGGAAAGAAGTTGATTAAGAAGAAATGATTTTCCAGAGCGATATGGACCAATCACCTAATAAAACACCCATCAAAATGGAGTCAGTTCTAAACAAAATTTAGAGCAAGGTCGAACAAATCAAAATTTCTCTAAGCAAAAGGTTGACTTCTCACAGAGGACTTGACATGCACAAATAATTACAGACATGGACTATTGTCAGTCATGCACACACGAGAAATCAGTTATGTACAATATTCCAAAACACAAAACAAATTAAATAAAACATTACTCATTTTCAAACAAGTTAATTTTTCTAATTTCATTAACGGGCACTACGTATATTCTAGATTTTACAAACCTTTTGGATTGGTTAAATGGCAAAATAAATTTGTTTTTGATCAGTGTCAAATATTTGAAACTAACAGATATTAAGGAAAATCAATCTCAAACTTACAGCAACAGCAGCAATCGGGGTTGTTATTCTCTGAATTGCCTCCAATCCTTCCTTTGAAATGCGAAGTTTTGTATGACCGGGGTCAGGTTCAACAATAGGAAACCTGTAAAAGAAATAAAAAGGATAAAATGAATTATTGATCACAAGTCATGGTTTTACATAAAGCTATGAGTAGAACCCCATTCTCTCACAAGCTATGGTTCGTCTTGTTTACTCTCCAAGTGGCTCCAGGATTAATTTTAATGATGAATAATAAAAAAAACTTCCTTTCACCAATAAATTCCTACTATATATGCAGCAACCAACCTATACATGTGCCTCTCCCTCCTAAAAACACATAAGTAATTAACATTTGTGGAAGAGGATTTATCTATTTATTTCTTCAGAGGGTTAGATCTTCAAATACTTCATTCCATTAAAATACTTGAGAGTATAAAGGGAAAATTTATACTCTCAAGTACCTTTTTCTTCTCCTAACCTATAAAAATTTGTTCTACTATATAACCGACGATGTAGTCTTTGAAGAGTTTGAGCTGAAGTCATGACAATAATTTATATGTACCATTCTTGGTATTTTGCAATTGCATTCTAACATTAGTTCTTAATGTGCCAACCAAATAGTACAGAACTGAGAGAATTTCTGGCATATCATTACCACACATTGCAACTGTAAAATGTGCATTGCAGTTTGGATTGTGTGGGGTATAGCTGGACGATAGTTAACAATGTATCACCCTGTAGGTATCAGGGCATTAACCATGGCTGCAGCCATCGCAATGCATCACTTCGAATGTGACTAATTTGCTATACCCCTTGTTGAAATCTGTGTGTTTACTTATCTACTTAGTACTTTATGCTAAATTTTAACCTTCATATTCTATAAGCTTATTCTATATTATTTGCTGTCCATTCTCTTTCAACAATTTTCATACACGGTAATAGTGGTTCTAAGCAGGATCAATGTTTCCTCTTGCCACTGTTGGATTGTGTTCTCCTCTTATGTTTATCATGCACCATTATCTCATCTTGGAAATATGAGTAAACAAAGGTAACATGAAATATTATCACAAGCCACAGCTTGATTAAAAGCAATGATTACAACATATTCTCTCTGAATTGCCTCTTATGTTTATAATGCACTATTATCTCACAAGCTATGGTTTGACATAATGCTTTTGCAAAGTTCATCTCCTAACCTTCCAACCACTGCCCAACATATAGATTAAAATGAAAGGAAATAAGCATAGCAGTCAAAATATCAAATTTTGCCCAATTAATTTTTATTTTTTTTTTATAAACAAAACCCTTCCACTAAAATATAATACACACCCAAAGATACAGCATATCTAAGAAACTTGAAGCACACTTATGATCTCCACTTAACAAAATTGCCTTAACCATCTAGTTTCAAACAGTATAATATATTCTTTCATCCATGAACCCTAAAGACACCTACTCCGATTTTGCACAGATAACAACCAAGAAAACTAAACTTCACTTTAATACAAGGTCTCCATGAAACCAACAACTTAGCATAACAAAAATAATAAGAAGCCGGAACTGAATCTCTTTGAATTCACAAAAGAGGAACACCTTTAAACTCCTTCGTACAAACCCCCTAAGGAAACCAAAAAACGCTATTCTCTCAGGTTCAAATCATCCTATTTCTCTTGAAAAATACGAGCATTTCTCTATGTCCTAACATATCACCTCCAAAGAGCATAGTGTAACGCATGTTCCAATTCATTGACCTTTCATTTCGAAAAAAACGAATTTTAACAGTGCAAAAGAATTCATGTTCTTCCCCTTATTTTATTTTTCCAAAACCTCAATGATTATGAATAAAATTCCTGTCAAAACAACCGTTTCTTAGGAGAAACATTAAAAAGGGCCCAAAATACTATGCACTGGCAAAAACTTCCTAATCACAAAAATTCTATGACATTCTTCAACTCCTTACCTGTGAATCACCATGCAACACTTCAACCAAACCCAGTATTCATTTATTTTATATGTATATATATTGATATGTCATCAAAGATGGTTTTTATTGGTTTAGGGGATGAGTAAGTGTGAAAAAGGTGGTGGAAGGGAAATCTGAAAGTACTTGGTATAATGACAGAGTTGTCGGGTCTTATGTGGTTGGGTTGCGAAAGGGCATCATGATGGTTTGGAAAGAATTTGCAAAGAAAATTGTGTAGAATGGAAATACTTTAGTGGAGAATTGTTTGTTGATATGATAATGGAGTAGCGTGGAACCCACAATTTAGGAGAATTTTGAGATTCGAAAATCTAGTCCATGAAGGCCTTCTTTGGTTACTTATATGATTCAGGGGTTCGAAGAGATAATCAGGATTCTTTGGTCAGGGGAAACTTTCTACTTCCTTGGAAAGATATTTGGAAAGTGCAAATTTCCTCCTAACTTTCCTAAGTTTTGGGTAGATTGTTGCCCTTGAGACCACCTGGAAAGTGATTATTGGTTAATGTTGCATGTGTAAGAGGGCAGGAGAAAAGGTGAAACATCTTCTTGTCAATTACCTGGCAGTGTCTAGTGAGTTATAGAGCCTTATTTTTGCAGTCTTTGGTGTGGCTTGGGTGTCTCCTTCAGTGAGGAGATATGCTTACATGATGGAGATTAGTATGCCTCGAGGAAAAGGAGAGGAAGGTGTGGAAGAAATGGAATATGGTGGTTTTTCAAAACAATGAGTTACCAATTTATAGACCGAAAGGATCCTTGCTCCTTTCTTCTTTTTTTGTTTTTTTGGATGAGAGTGGACTGTTTTTTTCCTTCGTTTGCACAGTTTGTAAGAGATTTGTGTATACTTGTGGATGTATATAACTTATATATCACCAATACTTGAATAGTGTAAAAGTAAACTTTCCTGTGAGTATGTAAGAAAATTGGAACCAATTTCATGCATTCAGCCACAAATAGTTTCATACAAATCTACTAAGAAACTTCAGGATTTATAAAGGCTTCCTTAATTATTTTGTGTAGCTGTAGTGCAAAGCTAAGAGATCCAACAGGCTGAACATATGGCTATTGTAATTGGTGTTCATCACATTACTATCACCCTTTGACCTTTGCCACAAGTTAGGTAACTCATGAAAGCAGTTTCACTATCCAAGCTTAGTTACTTTCCTATCTACAAAAAAAAGTTTGAAATAGACTATGGTACTATCTAATGAATTCTTTGGATGTTGCAAGCACTCATGTTAAATAAGCTGGTATAAAACTAACCATCACCAAACCAAACCAAGCCTTAAGTCTCATCAAATGGGATCAGTTACATGAATCATTCTTCTTCACTCGACTCTATCCAAGGCCATTTCATTAGTCAAATTAAGGAGATTCGTATCTCTATTTACTACACTAGCCCATGTCAATCTAAGTCTGTCCCTTCCCCTAACACTTTCATCTATCGTCATTGTATCACATCTCTTTACTATTGTTTCCGTTGGTCTCCGTCGTATTGCATCCCTTCCCCTAACCATCACCAATGGTTATAAATTATCTTTTTGTAAGAATGCTCAAGATCTCTGAATGTTCTCGTTATAGCACAGTCCTGTTTTCTTGACTTCCGCATAAGATAAGAATTTCCTGTCCACCTATTGTAGGCTACATAACTGCCAAGTGACCTAATATGTATTTGTCACGTTGAAAGTTGATAACAACTCGGAAACTGCAGTAACCTAGATGCTTCATTTGGCAACCTCTTAAGGCCAGCTTATTGGCTAAAAAAATCTATTTTGCAATAAAAATAAAAAAATAAAAGCTTCCGGTCATTTGGGCATACCCATTTCCCGCCAAAATACCAACATTAGCCACTCTAAAAAAGCCATTAGAAAAATCAAAACAGTTATTAAGAACATGCCAAACAAATTAGCTTTTTTATAGCATTAACTTTATTGGTGGCTTATTTTTAGCCAATAAACAAACTTTTAGCTAACTCCCGAAGGAAAGCTTGCTTGTTTTCATTTTTCAGAAAACCCTTTTCAGAAAATTTTACTTTCTTATTTTCCGTATTTTTTTGTTTTTACTGATTTTTTTTAATATTTGAAGTAATTTTTTTACTTTTTAAACACATCTAACAAAAATACACCTAAAAAGTAAAAATATTGTAAAAAAAATCTTTTAAAAATTTACTAAATACCAAAAATACAAAAAAAAATACAAGAATTCAGTACATTTTTTGTATTTCTATGTATTCAGTACATTTTTTGTATTTCTATGTATTTATTAATTTTTTAAAATATTTTTTCACAATTTTTTTACTTTTTAGATACATCTAACTAAGATGCATATAAAAAAGTAAAAAAAAAATGTTTAAAATTTAAAAAATATTCACTAAAAATAAAAGAATACGAAAACCTCAGGTTTCAAAAAACTTAATCCAAAAAACTCAAACCAAACGCACTGTTATTCTTTGGATAAGTAGTTTCACCACCTAAAAATTGAATCTAAATTTCCAAATCTAAATTATAAAATATTTTTCATCTGATTGCATCAAACCATAAATACACATTCATATTACAAAAGTTTATACAGAACCTCATCAAAACTCATGACTCATGTGCAACACAAAGTTTTCCACCAATACCAGTGAAGTTAAATCTCTAACAAAATGCAACCCATCACAACAACAACTGTTATTCCTTAGCAAAAGAAAGACACAAATCTAACATAAAAGCACCCCAAAAAATTCATGATTCAAAACTTTTAATTGGAAGTAACAGAGGAAACACACAATGCATTATCAAGACCATCACAAGCACAATGAACCCCACGTCAAGATTTCATTCCCATTTAACAGTAAAGCAAACTCAACCGTAAATAATGATGAATAAATTCAATTAAGAACAGGCACACTGTGAGTATTAAGAAATTAATTACGCTCTATTGAAATCGTCAATTGAGAAGGACCCAGATGCGAATAAGCAAAGAAAGATCGAAAACACCGCGACCCAACACGAAATCTTCATTGTGGATCGCTGCAAAAGGCCTTATCTTACAAATGCGGCACGGTTATAGGAGGCGAACACAATCTTTCGGCGAGGAAAGAAGAAGAAAATCGAGTGGTTTTGAAGACATGGGTGAGAGGGAGAAAGAAGGGGATCTCAAGAAGCCATGGCCGAGGGTACAGGTTAAGAATCGCTGACCCCTCTTTTTGGGTGTAACGCCGCAGAGAAAACCCAAAGAAATGGGTTTGTTTGTGCACTGAAAAGTAGGGAATTCGTGCCACGAGAAGGAAAAGGGAAGCGTGTCCTACGAATTTCTGGAGAGAGATAGGGAACTCGGAAGCAATGGAGCAAGCAATTGTACAATTTATACTGTAAAGCTCCGAAAATTTTGAAACTCTGCTGCAGGGTATGGGAATCGGGCCGAGTATGGTCTGGAGTAGACCGGATTAGAGTAAAATTATGATTAATCCGTTATTTACGGATCTTGAAAAATTAAGATTAATTTAATCTGTTTAAATAGTAGATTCAATCTGAACCAATTCATTTAAATACGGATTAGATCAATTAATTTAATTCGTTTTAATTTCATAAAAATATAAATATAACATCATATTAATTTCATAATAGTAACATGTCTTTTCGTAATAGCGACAAATTGTTTTAAAATTAAACAACCATAAGAAAAGTAGTTCCACTATAAGTATTTAGACTATTACAAATTAATACTAAAAACTAACAAACAAAATTAATAAAAGAAGATATTATGCAAGTTTAAGTTTGGATTTAAGTTTTATATGAAATGGGAGAAGATACTATGTAGAAGGGTGTATAATAAAAATATAGACTATTTGTATACGGTCTGGATCGGTTCCAATTCGGAACTGTGGGATTCAATCCGGAACCAATCCGTAAACTACGGATTTTTAATTTTTTAATCCGGAACCGAACTACGGATTCAAAAAACTAATCCAAACCTACTAGATTGGACTGAACTGGATTGGATTACGAATTTCACGGATTCATTGCTCAGCCCTATATGTAAGTCGTGAAATTCGTAATTCGATCCAGTGTAGTTCAATTCAATAAGTTTGGATTAGTTTTTTAAATTCGTGATTTGGTTTCGAATTGAATAATTAAACATTCGTAGTCCACGGATTGGTTTCGGATTGAACCCCACGGTTTCAGATTGGAACCAATCCGGACCGTATCAAACCTAAACTCGTATAATATCTTCTTTTATTACTTTTGTTCGTTAGTTTTTAGTTTTAATTTATAATCGTCTAAATTTTTATGGTGAAACCAGTTTTCTTATGGTTATTTAAATTTTAGAACAGTATATTGCTATTATAGAAAAACATGTTGCTATTGTGGAACTAATATAGCGCTATGTTTATATTTTTATGAAATTAAAGTGTTATATATATTTTTTTGTTATTTAATTATGTGAATCCGTGGTCTTAAACCGATCCAATCCTTGTTTAAATGGATTGGTTCGATTTGGTTCCATGATTTAAACAAATTGGATTGATTCCAATTTTTCAAGAACCGTAGATAACGGATTAGTCATGATTTTACTCCAATCAGGTCCAATCTGGACCATGCTCACCCCTAATTTCTAGTGGTGTATTAATTTTTTATTAAATTTGGATAAAAAATTCTTTAATATTAAGGGTTAGTTTGGCATGTTTGAAAAAAAAACTAAAAATTCAAAAAGTCAATATCTTATTTAAGTTACATCATCTTGTTTAAGTCATATCACCTTTCTAACACATCACTTCAAACACAACTCAAACCCAACCCATATTTCATAAAAAGTCAAAAAGTACACTTATTTAGATCATCTCAAACAACCCCTAAGTGTTTTAATGGAAGATTTTGTAATTTTATCAAACTACCGGGTGGTTGATTAGCTAGTGTAATTTTTTTTTATAAATTTTTGTCTTGAGATTGTCATCCAGAGGACATCTGGAAACATCTGGTATTGAAAATCTAACAGCAATAAATAGTGATTTGATGAAATGCGCATTGATCCTCAATTTAATGAAAGAAAAATAAAATCTTAAATTTAATAATAAATTTGATAAACCGTTAGAGATGTAAAAAGTAATTTCTTTTTTTTTGTTATCAAATTTAAATTTAATAATGAATTTAATGAATCATTAGATGATCTTACACACCACTAAATATCTTTGTACCTTTTGCTATCTTTTTAAAAAAAAAAATATTACAAATTTATTTTATCTTAAAATTCCCTTTTTACTTTTGTTTTTAAACATTTTAAAATCCTAATCTTAAACCAGCTTGGAACACTTTCACTTTTTCATTTCTAGTTTCGATCGTCACTTTTAACTCCTCTTCACCTCTATCGGCACCTTTCAACTCCTTCCAACCTCCACGACCCTACATTAGAGTCTTTCTCATTCCGCAACCTACCTTTGGCAACCCCTCTTTCCTGTGACCTTCAAATGATAGCTCTCAACCCATGCAACTGTCCTCCCACAACTTTGCAACTCTCTTACACTATGTTTGGTTGAGAGATTTGGAAAGAGAAAGGAAAAGAAAAAAAATATGTGAAATTATGTGAAATATAAATATGTTTTATTCACGTTTCATCTACCTTTTCATTTCTCTTTCTAAATCTCTGCTCAAATCTCTCAATCAAACACAGCATTACAGTTTCAGTTAGGGGTGGCGCGAGTCGGATGCGGCCACGGAACCTCCAATCCGCCATCCGTCCGCCAATTCGGCGGATGTGAATTGAGCGGTTTGGCGGTTTGACGGATGGATACGAATCGGTTTTGCGGTTTGAAATTTTATAAATTTTCAACATAATTCAACTTGTACACTTCCTCAAAAAAAAAAAAAAAAGATAAAAAAATATTACAGTCAATGACTTAAAAAAGTATTATAATTACTGCATGCCTCATCCAAAGAAAGAAAGTTTGAAACTTTAGAATATCAAAATCAATGCATGCCTCATCCACATATTACAATCACAGCATGCCTTATCCACATAAAGTATTACAATATGTGGTTCTTAAAATATAAAAACAATTCAAATCGCCAAAACCATGAACAGAACAGTTGTAGAGATTGTATGTCTCTATATTGTCACATTTATATATGTTTTTGAAAACAAAAACCAACCAGCATATATCATATTTTCTATTTATTACTTTTAGAGTTAGATTTAAAAACCAAAAAATATAAATAAATAATACGTTTATTTTTTTCAATTCAAAAAATTTATTCAAGTTGAAAACTTTTTTTCAACTGAATATTTAAACTCCTTTTCAATTGAAAACACAAACAAAATATTTAAACAAATTAAAAACACAAAGTCTTATAAATTATTAAGGGTGCTCGCAGTTTGGCGGTTCGGTTGCAGCCAAAGGGACCTCAAATTCGCCATCCGTCTGTCAAATTGGCGGATTGGAGAAAATCAATCCGTAACCGTCCGCTCGTCATCACGCATCCGTCCAAAATGCGGCGGATCGGTTCGATTCGGTCGGTTTTAACGGATCGGTATATCCGCTGTTCACCCATAGTTTCAGTTTCTTTCTTTTGCTCAATCTCTCTCTCTCTGAATGGTGCACCAGAGAAAAAGTGGCCCATTTCGTAGGGAGTTTCTACTTACACACTACAAATTCTCTTACTTCACACTAATTTTTTAAATTATGATTGTATCCCTAAAAAAAATTCTCTCACAACCCCACCATCTCCAATTGCCATCCTTTATCTCTGCGAAGCCCTAGATCCCACCATCGTGACTACCATGAGTGGATTATAGTAAAAATGGAAAACAGCTTTTGGGCTCTTTGGAGTTAAATGGTACTTTTGGTCCGTAAGGACAAAGTAGTGATTTTATACCTGGATATTATTCTATATTATTAGTCATAAGGGCATTTTGGTAAAATGATTATAAAAAATAAGTTGGTGAAAACAAATATAAGTGTTAGAAAGTATAAAGATGTTAGATTTAATTCAGTATTGCATTATTCTTGAAAATTGATTTTCTAACTTAGTTGTTTTCTGAACTTGGCCCGAGTGAGATTATTTGGTTATTATTTGGGCTTGGACTGAGTTGGTGTATTGTATAGTATAGTTGATTCAGTAAGTTTGACGGAGATAGTCGCATGTTATCACTATATATGTTAATTTTATATAATTTTAAATTGTAACATAATAATTGGAGGAAAAATTAGTATCATATAGTGATTCTAATTAATTCATTTAATAATATTAGTTATATCGTGCTATGAATGTGATGATCATAGTTTTATCTATTTTATTATTTTATATAAAAAAATTAACAATCTCCACCCTAACAGCTATCATCAAAATAAATATAATTTTATTAATTCATTATCTAACAATTCTATTACTATTAATCCTTTCACTATCAATCTCATTCATTCTGCTTCTAAAGACAAAGTATACATTTTAACTTTAGCACCTACTTGAGGGTTGTTTTGGGAAGTTGGTAAAAAGCTGACTTTTGATTTTTTTACCAAGTTTTTTGGCTTTTTTGGAAGTGATTTGAGAAGTTGGTAAAAAGTTAATTTTTTGCTTTTTAGTTTAATATTTATTTATGGTGTTAAATCAAATTAAAATGACCAAAATACCCTTACCCAACATAAGAGATTTATTTTTTTCTATTTTTTTCATAGGCCCTAATTTGTAATTTTAGGGCTGCGTTTTTGGCACTTCCCAAAGGGATTTTGTTGCGTTTTTGGCAACCATGTTTTTGGATATTTTGTCCAAAAACGTGATTTTTTACTATGTTCCCAAAATGACACTAAGTCTAATTAATTTAACTAATTATTCCTAGTGAAGGCTACATTCTTCAAGTTTTTCCATTTGACTTTTCTATGTGATTTATATGGAATTAGTAAGTATGAGAGATTGTATTTACATTGTAGCAACCGTCTTAGTAATAATAAATGAGTAAATATTAAATATAAATATGTTTAAATATTACTTAAATCTATAATGCTGTTTGTGAACGACCAATATAAAATTAAAGATTTTGTGATTTAAATTAGTAAATTACTAGCAGTTTTCCATTTGAGTAATCTATGGGATCTACAATTGGTAAGTGTGAATGATTTTGATCACATTGTAAGAATCGTCTGAGTAATAATAAATGAGTAAATATCAATTAAAAATATGTTTAAAGCAAATGTCAACAAGTATTTTATGAATATTGTTTAATGTTTAGAAGTGTTTAAAAAATCTTTAAAAATGTTAAAAGGTATATTAATTTCAATAAAATTGTATTGAATTTAATATAAAAAAATTGTTTTTATTTTTTATTTTTTATCTTTTATTTTTGTCCTAAAGACACTTGCCTAGTATGTATATTAAGAACCCATGTTAATATGACTAGTTATTTTTAT